TCTTTTCTTTTCCCCCCCCCGGCTCTGACCTAAGGGCACAGGGGGCGGGCTTGAGGCTTTGCATGCGCGCGCACGGCACCCGCTCCCCGGGGACCCGGCAATTCGGGCACGCGCAAGCGCAGCGAGCGAGCGAGAGGGGAGAGAAAAGGAGGAGGCACCGGAGGGGAGGGGAGGGTCTTTTTTTTCCCCACCGAATCGCCACACCAGAAGGCGTTTGGGGGAAGGGGAGGCGCCCTCAGGGGGGGGCGTCGTGAGCTCACCGCCCCCGTGACTCCTCCTCCTCCTCCTCCTCCTTTGCCTGCTTAACGCCTCCCTCCCTCGCTCCGGCCGCAGCTCGGTTACCCTGCGCCGAGCCACCAAAAGGAGGCTGGGAAGCAGACCGTTATTTTCGGCCGGGGTATCTTTCCCCCCTCCCCTCCTTTGCCTTTTCTAGACCGCTTCTGCCCCCCAAACTGGACGAAGGTGGGCCCCCGGGTACCTTCGGGGATCTCCGGGGATGGGTTTGATATCCCTCAAATCTACCCCCCTCCGGTGGCCAGAACAAAAAAGAAGAGAAACGGGCATCCTCAGAAGGGACGGTGGAGGGAAGAGCCGAAGTTGTCCCGCCACAACTCATTATTATGGACCTCTCCTCTGATGGAGTTTCGCCCGAAATATATACCCGAGATACGAAGAAAGAGATTGAAAGGCGTTAAATCAAAAACGGATCTTCGTGGGTTTTTTATTTTGTTTGTTTTTTGGTAATGTGGAATCCTCACATTAGATTAAAACAGAGTTCAAGGATCCCTCGGTGCATGGCTTGGCAATGGCACAAAACAGGAATGTGAGGCACGGATCTTCATGATTTCATGTGATTTTTTAGATTTAATCCTCCTAAATTTTAGACTAAAACCACCTTCAGATGCTCAGCTCTGACTGGCAGCCACTCTAGGGATCCAGCGAAAACCTTAAGGGGATGGTAGAGATTAAATGTAGAATATTGGATATGTGAAGCACATGTCGCTGAACTGTGCCCCTCTTTTTTTGTAGCCTTTATGGTTGTGGAAAACCATTTTGGCAGAACTTGGACTGCTGTTGTTAATGTAATTATAGTTCCAAAGCTTCCAAAAGTAGTTAGTTACTCTAGAACCTGAAAATATTTAGAAGTACCTTTTTGCTCTTATAAACACACACTTGTATTTCCGGTCACCATGTATGGATGTGAAAGCTGGACAATTAAGAAAGCTGATAAGAAAAAGATTTGTTTGGAATGTGGCGCTGGAGGAGAGATTTCCAGATACCTTGGGCTGCCAGAAAGTCGGAGAAGTGCGTCCTAGATCAAATCAAATCAAGCCTGAATATCTCTAGGGACAAAAATGGTGAAGCCGTGGCTGTCCTACTTGGAGGCATCATGAGAAGGCAAGATTGTCTGGAAAAGACAATAATGCTGGAAATGTTGGGAAGCAGTAGGAAAAGAGGAAGGTGAAGTGCAAAAGGGGCTAACTCTCTAAAGGAAACCACAAGCTTGAGTCTGCAGGAGCTAAGCAGGGCTGTTGAGGATGTTCTAGAGATTTTTCATTCATAGGGTCACCATAAGTCAGAAGTGACTTGACAGCATGTAACAACCACCACTTCCCTGTTCCAAAATTATGTTCAAAAATAGCTTTAAAAGATTCCTGAGTTACCTTAAAAATCTGAATGCTGAAAGTTTCTGTCTTGTGGTACAAAACTTAATCTTTTTCCCATTGACCTCATATTTACCTCTCTGTGCACACGCAGGGGGAAAAACATTGAGGAACACAGCATGGATCAGCACTTGGGCTGGATTATATCCTTCCCCTACCCTTTAGTGAGGTCATGTGACTTTAGTTGTAAAAGTTTTTTAAAAGTTACAGTTACACCACAAAGGGAAATTATCACTTGTTAAAGTGTAATCATAACATAATATAATTACATTTTAATGGTACCTTTATACTTTCCATACTAATCAGTTAAAAACAAACAGACCAAGAAATTGAGCTAGAAGTAAAAAATGAAAATATAGAGTGAGTTGGCACATATACAGTAAATGCCTTGAAATATGATTGAATTCAGTGGAATGATAGCTAAGCAATAAAAGTTAAAAGAAAGATGGCTCAGAGCAGCTTCCTAAATATGAAGAATGCAATATATAACAAAAATAAAAGCCCTAGCACATTGGGTTGAGAATGCACATTGTACATATATTTTCTTTGTATTCTTAGCAGAACTCACATGCTTCAGTCAAGGGAAAAGGTGCAGAAACACACACACACACACACACACACAAGACAGAAATGTTTGAAATTTGGATATATCACACGATATTAAGAATTTCTTGAATCATGAGGGTGACCAGGAAAGCACTAAAGCAAATCAATAAATAAATTTTAAAACATAAAATGCAGTAAAAAGCTAAGAGGGTTTAGTCATACAATAAGAAATGAAATGTACAGATTGTTACACCTGACCATTTAAGGTAAACTAAATAGAAGAAGTGCAGTAAGGAGATGAACTTGAGGAACTGTTTAAGATGCAATACAATGCTATTATTTATGGCTGCTGAATCTGAAGAAGTAGTAATAGAAGTTACTGTTATACCAGCAGTTGTCAATGTTCTTGTGTGCCATCAAGCCACTTCCATGAACTGCTGATGTCATTAATGTGCCATCTACTTGTGGGAATCCTATGGATTAATAGCCTCCGAAAAGATCCAATCATTAACAGCCATTTTCAGGTCTTACAAACTAATGGCCATGGCTTCCTTTACATATTCTCATAATTCGTCTACGATTTCCCAGCTTGTTCAATTGTGCGTGAAAATAATAAAAGCCAGAGGGCCTTTCAAATTTTTGCACATGGACAACACATGGTCTTGCACATGGTTCAACACAAATCCTGTTCAAGGTAGCCAGAAAAATGGATGATTGATAACACAATCATGCCTCCATCCATAGAAGCTTCTCCCTGTGCTCTAAAGTGCACAGAGCATCAAACAGTGAAGGTATTCTTTATCGATATATAAGACATGGTTGTTGTGGGTTTTTCAGGCTCTTTTGCCAAGTTCTGGTGGTCTTGCACATGGTTCAACACAAATCCTGTTCAAGGTAGCCAGAAAAATGGATGATTGATAACACAATCATGCCTCCATCCATAGAAGCTTCTCCCTGTGCTCTAAAGTGCACAGAGCATCAAACAGTGAAGGTATTCTTTATCGATATATAAGACATGGTTGTTGTGGGTTTTTCAGGCTCTTTTGCTGAGTTCTGAAGGTTGTTCTTCTTAACTTTTTGCCAGTCTTTGTGGCCGCATCTTCAGAGGACAGGAGTCAGAAGTCTGTCTGCACTCTGATACATAAATTAATCCATTTTTGTTTAGCAGAAAGTTGCTGCAGGAGCTTATTTTATTGTGGATTGCAACATTGTTTGAATTGCATCGAAATATCCCAAGGCAAAGTCTTAGCAGCGAAGGCAAGTGTAACAATTGACAGTCCCAGCCAGAGAAGTCAAGGGAAAAACCAGTGTCCTACCAAAAGACAAGTCAACCAGGTACGGGTGATCTCCAACAGCCCCAATCTGAAGGTGAGGTTTATATACCCGAGTTGCTGCACCCTCACTCAGAGCTCAGCTGTAAATATCTGGCCAGCTAACAGTGGAGCTTAGCTGCAAGTTTTGGATCACTGACCTCCCTGTGAAGAAGGTTTTCCCCTGAAGAATATCTCTAGTCCCCAGGAAGCCTTCTCTCTCAAGGTGTCTTTCCTTGCAGCAAGACACTTCACGTGGGAAATTCTAGGTGGGTCTGCATCTTAATCCTAAAGCATTGTTGT